TTCGGTTCTCCCTTCTTCCGCGACTATGGTTCCCTCACTCTTCTCGGCCTCTCCCTCCGTCCTTTGTGGTCGAGCTCCGCGGCTATGGCCGCTTTCCTTCTTCTACGTTGGACTGCACAGCGGACTTCAAAGGTACGTGACAACCAATCTTCTCTCTCTCTCTCTCTCTCTCTCCCTCTCTCTCTCTCTCTCTCGCCGTAGCGATGTCTTCAACACAGGTACGTAGTAAATCAAACTTGTATCACTCGTCTCTCTCTCTCTCTCTCTCTCTCTCTCTTCGTCGTCGTGGTGGTCTTCTTCGCAGGTGCGCACGGCGGCTTCTTCGACCTCCAGATCCGCTATGGCGGACTTCTTCTCCGATGGTGACTTCGGCTATGGCGCGTAGGTCTTCCTGCGGCGCACGACGGACGCGCGTGGAATAGCGGGTACCAGCTCCGATACCAATGCAATCAGACTCACTTTCATTCACACTTCTCATGCATGTAAACAGGTTGCGCGGCAAACTGGCAACAAGCGCCCACTCAGAACTCAGAGATATGGAAACCAAAACGCAGTTCAGATACACGTTCAATTCAAATGGTTATGGCGGCACAGCGCCTGTACAACTCTCTGTTCACACACACACAGGATCACCCTGGATATCCCACACGCATCACGCTGTACACACACACACATACACGCTACACTTTCCTATCAGCTATGGCAGCTATGGCCGCTGCTACCCTATTGCTATGGCTAAGCTCCTTCTCTCGCCCACTTCGTCTTCGGGCTCACTGGAGACCACCTTGCACAAGTCGCTATGACAGCGCTTCCGCATGGCTTACGCAGGAATGAATGAATGGCTGGGCGCTGCCTCTTGATTTATACTTCTGTATCTCGTTGGTCTGCCCCTTTTCCCATGCCCGTGGTGCACACAGTCCCATGCGGTACTTGCTTGACTGGACTAGGACTGACTGGGACTGGGACTGCTGACTAAGCACGGGTGGACTCCACCACTTGCCCACTTGCCTCAGCCTAAACGTGAGCAGCTTCGAAAGGCCACTACTGGGACCTTCCGGAAGGCCGTGGACTTGGCCTTTCAATACTGTAGCAGCTACGACCTTGACCCTTCAGGACTGTAGCAGCTACGACCTTGACCTTTCGGAGGAGCTACAGCTACGACTTCTAGACCTTGCTAAGACTCCTATCCGACAGGTCTACAGATCGAACCCCTACTACCTACGGACCTTACAACAGTCTACCAACTGTTACAAATACACAGGTCACGGGTTCAAGTCTCGGGGTGGACACAGATACTGTACACAGGTAAGGTGAGGACTAGGGGTCAAGCCCTGAGATCTGCATTGGCTACTGCGAACAGGTGAATACCGTTTCAGATTGTCTATGTATTAGGATAATCTATGTATAGATTGTCTATGTATTAGATTTTCTATGTATAGAGTAGTTGCGCCGTGTAAAAGCATCTCCGCTTAAACTTCAATCTGATAACTACCACCTTCCCTCGAACACCACGCACCCTCATCATCATGACGGAATCCATCGAACAAGCTATCTACATTCATAATTAGGGATGCCCCCACATCAGAACTACCAAACATGGAATGCCAGCTCGATACATTCATAATTAGGCATGCATGTGATGCACGCACTGTCATCCTGACTGTATGGAACTGAGAAAGATAGCTTGATCCGTTCATAATCAGGGATGCACCCTCAACGTGACTGCACCGAAGTGGGAAAGACAGCTTGATACATTCATAATTAGGGGAGCTCTGTGTTGGAAAGAGGGTAGCTCATGTACATGTGTTCTCTTCAAGATAATGATCATTGAGCAATGTGAACAACTCCGGCAGAACTTCACTTTCACTACGGCGAAGAATCCTGGACATCACACTGGTGCTGCAGTCCTGCACTCCCACACTCACCACTCACACACTGACCAACCCCACACTCGCCATCCCCACACTCACCACTCACACATTCACCACTCCCACACTCACCCTTCTGTTTCCTTGCTGCCCAGATCAGCCAGCAGCTTCTTTATGTCTAGCTTTTTCTAGGCAACAAAAGCTTTGGAGCAAGTGTGACAATGGATTTGAGAATGGCCCATGACTCCTTGCTGCCCAGATCAGCCAGCAGCTTCCTTGTGTCTAGCTTTTTCTAGTCAACAAAAGCTCTGGAGCAAGTGCGGCGGTGGACTTGAGAATGGGCCATGACTTGAACTTGCTGTGCATGAGTGGCCCTGCGTTTGCCAAATGGTGACCTTGCGGGGTTTCAATTGGTTCTAGCTCGTCACCTATTCAATTGCAGGAACATGTGGAGTCAGTAGACCAAGTCCTTGACAGTATGGATGATTGCATCCGGGTGTCTGGCCTGTGTTCACACACAAAGCCCGACTGACAGATGCGATGAATGTTTGTAATTTTGTTTCCTCCTGCAGAACAGCCCATCCATCCCGTACTTGAAATGAGCCAAGTACTCGTCAAGTTCAACTCGCATACATAATGAACATTCACGTGAGAGTTCAAGCGTGAGAAGCCCAATCGAGATACAATCAACACATGAAGATGTCGCCCCCAAATTTTATCATCAATATACCA